TTCCCTGAGCTGAGAAAATTTCTGAGGCATAAAAATCTCTGGTCACGTCTTCCTTCGGAAGGGAAGAAAGGCCGTTGCTCCCGGCCCATGTGTGTTGAATGGGTGCGATATCCTACGCAGGTGTGGAAGCTGCCTTCCTGCACATTCGATTGCCGTCAATCGATGGCAATCGATGTCCGTCGGTGATTGGCACTAGATGGCGGAACAGAGACCGACGTTAAATAAAGGAAAAAAGGCGGCATAGAATTTGGGAGAGTACCTACCTTGTAGGTGGCGCTCAGCAGTGTGATCGCGCGGTAGTTGCAGCAATCCAACTTGTCGCCCTTTTTGTAGATTGGGCATACGACACCTTCCATCCACTCCTCCGGTAATATCTTCTCCTCCCAAATCTTGGCAATTACCCAGTGTAGCGCTCTAGCCAGTGCTTCACCACCGTATTTTAATAGCTCACTTGGTAGTTGATCTACACCAGTTGCTTTGTTGCTCTTCAGCCGACCGATCTCACTTTCTGCAGTCCGTTGTTAGTGGCAAGTATGAACTGGAGAGTGTGTGAGGAGTACACTCATAGTGACCATCAGGCAATTAGGTACAGCTTTGGCCAACGGATACCTACGGCAATGTGGAAAACGAAAGTAAGCAAGCGGAGGTGGAAGACGAAGGCATTCGACAAGGATCTCTTTGTAGAAGCTCTCCGGGTAGACCGTCGGTGAGAACGCCATACCATCAAAACGCGTGCTGAAGTATCTTGGAGTGATACTCGATGACCGACTAAGCTTCAATAGCCACGTCGACTACGCATGTGAGAAGGCTGCGAAGGCCATCAATGCGATAGCTAGAATCATACCGAACAACTCTGGACCAAGCAGCAGCAAGAGGCGTCTTCTGGCTAGTGTATCGTCATCGATACTGAAGTATGGAGGTCCAGCCTGGGATGCAGCGCTGAAAACGAAGAAGAACCAAAGAAAATTGAACAGTATGTTCCGCATCATGGCCACGCGAGTCGTGAGTGCGTATAGAACAATTTAGACGGAAGCAGTATGCGTTATCGCCGGTATGATACCCATCGTCATCACCTTGGCGGAGGACACCCAATGCTATATGCGAAGAGATACCAGAGGAGTACGGACATTGGTGAGAACGGAGTCGATGGCTAAGTGGCAACAGGAGTGGGACGCAGCGGAGAACGGTAGATGGACACACAGGCTAATACCGATTCTTTCGACCTGAGTGAACAGGAAGCATGGAGAAGTCAACTTCCATTTGACGCAGTTCCTGTCTGGTCATGGCTGCTTCAGGAAGTACCTGCATCGCTTTGGACACACAACGTCACCCCTCTGTCCAGAGTGTGGCAACGTGGACGAAACGCCGGAGCACGTGGTTTTCGGCTGCCCAAGATTTGAGGCAGTGCGAGTGGAGATGCCGGCCCTTAGCGCGAGAAATGTCGTCATTGAAATGTGCTGGGATGAGAGGACGTGGAGCGTCGTCAGCAGGGCAGTGACGCAAATTTTGTCGGAGCTGCAGCGAAAATGGAGCGATGATCAGTGAGTTAGAAACGCCGGCTAGCTGAGCTAAAGAGATGTGCTTGAGCACAGCCCCCCCCCCCCCGACGAAATACTCTATGGGAGTTCCGGGGGGATAGTGGCTAGAGGCGAGTAAGGTTTTAGTGGTAAAGAGTTTCACACTGTGCCAGAAGGAGAACAAACACGCACCACAGTGACAGGCCGGGCTTTTGAAGCTTTCCTTCCTATAAAAAAATACATACATAACGTACATAATTTTCAACAAGCCCCTCAACCCCCCTCCCCCCCTGCTTTGATCTTGCCACCACTGCACATTTAATTCTCGAAAAATGTCATTATTGAGCTCGACAATCAATAAAATACGAATACGACTGTACAAAACAGTCCATCTCAACTAAAACTAATTGAATCATAAAGGCTGACAAAATCGGGTCAAAAAGCTGACAAAATCGGGGGTGGACAAAATCGGGGGTAGACAAAATCGGGTCACCACTGTATTCGAAAGAACTGCTCATGTTTAAAAGAAGAAATCATTCCTATAAATAAAAAATAATGATTATTTAGAAATTTCTGAAATCAGCACAACTTGAATGAACTGCTCATATTCAAAAGAAGAAAGCATTGCATCGAACCTTCTCATTTTTTTTCGAGGCTGATTTCAAAACTTACTGCGTTTTGATAAAAGTTCAAAACTGTTGAAAATGGCTTGCTCTTCGACGAAATGACCCATTCGGCGAAATGATCTTCGGTAAAACGGCCTTGGGCGAAATGACCTTCGGCGAAACGTCCTTCGGCAAAACATCCTTCGGCGAAATGTCGCGCTCTCAATGTAAGAATCTCGTTTTAAATGTGATGTTCCGTTGACGTTCACACTAAAAAATTATGAATTTTAATGGTGATGTAAAACCGATTGGGACAATGGAAATCTTGGACGGTGGTTACATTCATGTATTCCTAATGTTTCTTCGAGAGCGTGGTTTAAAGGCTTGAACTTAAGTCGTGACTTCATTCGCGTGATGAGTAAATTTATGTCCAACCACTACTCGCTAGATGCTCATCTGAATAGAATAAACCTTGTGGACAGCAACATCTATCGGTGTGGAAACGGTTACGATGACATCGATCTCGCAGTGTGGCAATGTACGGATAATTACACCACCCACCAGAGAGCGACTTTTGAATACCCTTGAGGCCCAAGGAAGACAATCCTATGTTCCCTCAGAGACGTGTTGGGAACTCGCGATATCTGCTATATGTAGTCGGTTTATGTGTTTCTTCAAATGTCTAGTATAAGAATTTAATTTATTTGTCTTTTGTCTCTCTTTATTAGTTTTTGTTTGTCTTGTCCCCCCGTCTCGATGGGTCTCATCGTCGTCCACTGGTCACCATAGCCGGTCGAACTCCAGACGAAACTAGAACCGCACTACCGTTCATACTGGTGACAACGCTCCGATGAGACAACGAAACCTTACCCCCAAGCTCCTCCCCTGATCCTATCCTTCGACAATGTACCTCTCTAACCTCGAGTAAGCCGCGAGTGTTCGGCCCAACTCCTACTAGACATAGAATTAAGTGAATTTTGTTACAAACAAAGAACAATGAACTATCGGCTCCGTAGAGCTAACGTGATTGAGCTTGCTAAATAAACGAACTAGTTAAAAAAAATGGTGATGTAAATATCCATGCATGCTAACATTTTAACGTAGACTAGCAACTTGCAAGAAATATTGCACACTTAGAAAAATTGATGTAAATTTTGGTCCTCTGAGACTGACATATACGAGCGTCAATTTTGACATAAAATTGAGTCATAATAGACGCGAAATTCAGCTCGATCAAACGTAATTTTGAACTTTTCAGTCTCGGAGCACTTAATTTTACATGACATGTTTGTTTACGTCTTATCCATTCTGTCAAAGATAGATTCCGTCACGTATAAAATTGGGAATTTCGAAGTGTGTGCTTACAAAGATGGATGGTACAATATTTAGAATATTTCATGAAATGACTCAGAAATTTACACGATCTGTAATGTGATTTTGTATGGTATGTGACGCTCCATTTATGTGCATCATAGTGACAGAAAATTACACTATTTTTTCGAACTGTGTTTGAGAAAAATTATAGAAACTTATTTCAGTCACGATCAAGTTACTGGAAAATGTTGTGACGAAAGTGTGCTGCACGGATAATTCTCCTTTAGGATTGCGAGTTTACCTCACAATCTTTAGTCCAGAGCTTTTAAATCTGTCTATCAGTAAATAAAGAGTTTAGTTATAGCCTCATCAATTAAACAATACTAACAATGCGGATCCATTTTTACTTCCAATCAATTCCGCTAATCCGCACTATTCATCCCACGATCCCGTGCGACCATTCTTCACCACAAAGCATCCATTTTCCCGTCGAACAAAACTCAACCGGAATGGAAAATAAACCACCTCATAAAGCAAATTAAACCAACAAAGCTCCGGTACTTTTACCCATTCAGAGTCGAATTTATTCGTCGCATTTTTCACCACCGCTCGCCGGCTGACTGGCTGTGACAGTGCGGGACAGCCAACGAATGTGCATTTCTACCATCCACAGTCCTCTACTCACAGCCGGCCAGTGATGCAAAAAAAAACTACCCCAACTGCTCTCCGAAAAACCAAAAAAAAAAATCACTCAGTTCTGTTATTGACTCCAGTCACATTATTATTAACAATTTACTAGCGTACACGCACACAAACACACACACTCACCCACACTTTCTGGTTTTGTGTGCGCGCTCGGGGCTATTGAAGGCCGATAAAAAGCACAATCCGGGTGGAAATGGAGAATGAAAATCGTCGATTTATGCGAACGGAGGAGAATGGGAGGGAAAAAAATCGAGTTCAAAGGATGAAAAGTGAGACGGAACGAGTTTTGTTTGAGAGCTTTGTTGTGTTTGTGTTCTGTTCGGTGAACAAAAGAGAAGCAACTGGGAGGAAAAGCTCAAAAAACGCGAATATTGTGTGCGCGAAGAGAGATAAGGCTTCTATCGGCTCTCATCCGGCTAGCCGGAGAAGAATAAATAACAAATTCGGCATGAATAGAAGAGGTCGATTGATGGAGAAAGAAGGAGACCGATGTTTGAGAAGGACAGAGATGAATCGAGTTGCTCGAAGACGCTCTCTCCCGTAAATGAGTGGAGAAAGTGAGAGAGAGAGAGGGCACGCGAGAGCAACGTGACTTGATAAACGAGTGAGCTAAAACAGAGAGCAATGTGTTCGCGCATACAATGGACGAATGCTGCTGCCTGCCGTGCTGGGTCTTAAGATAAAAGGCGTAAACAATGGCTGAGAAGAGAGAGAAAAAGGCTGAACACGCCTTCTTTTATTCGACCGGTGTTCGTGCGGTTGTGTTTTATACGGTCGAGGTTTTGTTTATCGCATTCAATCAGGGTGCGATCGGATCGGAGATTTTACACTGAGCACATTTGTGTGAGTGTGGAACGCACAAAAGAAGCTGAGAAGCGGAGAATACCTGAAAGCGCCGCGGTGCGTTCAGGATGAGAGAAGGTGCAGAACCGGTCGAATCACAACCATTCAGTTCGAGTTTGGCTCTTGTGCAGTGAAGACCTAAATTGGAGTTTGGATTTTGTTGTTGTTGTTATCGTTGTCTTTGAGACTTTTCCCAGTGTTTGGAAAACGTTTCAAAAACGAGATTCATTGTGAAGGAAGAAACGAGTTTTACGAAGCTACACCATTTGAATGGAATGCAATTAGTGGAAGAATCGAGATAAAGGAAGCCATTCAAAGTGTTTGACAAGTTTTGGACAGTAAGCAAATGAGAGTGAACTTTATGATTTGTGAACAGTGAGAGAGATTGATCAGAAGAGATTGCCAAGTGCATTGATTTACGAAGACTTTAAGTGATTCCGGAGATTATCGAGATGATTAACCATTCAATGGCCAGTTTGAGCCACCCGCATTATGGGTTCTCGCTGGGTAATCATCAAATGGATATGCCGCCGGCAGCTGATTATGCGCCTCAACCGAACCACAGTCCGGGCAGCGTGGACGTGAAACCTCGGTTAAGTTTCCCGCCCACTTCACTGGCTGGGTTTCAAACTCACACATCTCAACAGCCCGGGTCTCATCAGACCTCACCTGGTCAGGACGGACACATCAAGCGACCCATGAATGCCTTCATGGTCTGGTCCCGGCTGCAACGTCGTCAGATCGCCAAAGACAACCCCAAAATGCACAATTCGGAGATCTCCAAGCGTTTGGGATCCGAATGGAAATTGCTCACCGAGTCTCAGAAACGCCCCTTCATCGACGAAGCCAAGCGCTTGCGGGCCAGCCACATGAAGGAACATCCAGACTACAAGTACCGACCACGACGTAAGCCAAAGAACCCCTTGGCTAACGCCGCCGGGGGACTCTCCCTAGGAATGCAACAATCCGCCAAGAACGTCCTTGGATCATCGTACCCATTCCCGCAACTTCCCCCGTACTTTGCCCCGTCTCACCACCTCCAGCAGCTGGAACAACACTACTCAGTTCCCTACTTTGGCGGCTTTGATCCACTGACCCTATCCAAACTACACCAATCGCAACAGAACGTCCAGAACAGCTCCCCGACGGGTATGGAAGCCCACAAGACGCAGCAAATGCCACCGACTTCACTTAGCTCGTTCTACTCCAATATCTACAGTGGCATCTCGGCTGCGGCAGCGGCCTCGCCGCTCTATGCCGCTCACTCGAACAGCCTGTACAACTCGTCCACGTCATCCACATCGCCTGGATCCAGCCCCAGTACCTCACAGCAGTCTGCCACCATCCTGCCGAGCGATATCGAGAACTCGATGCGGCGGCCCGTACAGGTCATCTACTAGTTCGCTGACGACAACGGCACAGTGATTGTATCTCAGAGTAAGAAGCACCATTGTCTGTAGTTCAGTTTACCGATAGGACCTTTCCTTAACCTAAAAGACGCGCTGGCGAACTCCCGTTTTCATGTGTATATATTCCGTGGTTATAAGCGATCGGATGAAGCGTCGCCGCGCCGTCGTGTTACTTACTTTAATTTATTCATGTGAAACGATAACTCTGAACAAAAGGAACGACATCCCTCTCATAGTAGGAAGCTTTTTTTTTTTGTTTTAACTAGTTTAGAACTGATGACGAAGACCGATTTCGGTGGGTCTTTACTGTGTAAATAGCCTAGAAATTTATCGATGTGCGGACTGTGCGCTAGACTAATTATCAACTCACTCCGAACAACGTTGTCTTATGTTAGTTCTGTTAGGTTCGAGTCCCCCCCCCAAAACGAATCATTTATGAGATTATTTTCTATCTCAAACGACGAGTGGACGCGCGCTGTTAGGATACAATTTTTATAACGATTAAAACAAAATTTACGAACAGATCATCATCATCAATCAGTGGAAACGAGTAAACATTCGGCTGATCGGTAGGAGTGGATTGGGTTTTTCGTAAGAATGGACTTTATCTTTATTTGTTATCTCATAAATCGTAAGCAGCAAACAGTGAAAGAAACACAGGAGCAGGAAGATTGTATGCGAAATAAATAATTTTTGATGATAAAAGAGAAATTCGAACCGATTTGTGCTGTTACTATAGAAACTTGAAAAAGAAACCCTAACTGGGGCGGTTGTCTCCTCTTTGCTTGTACCTTTATTTTATGTGTTAACAATGTTTAAGGTTATGATTTTTTCTGTCATCACAATTTACTTGCAATCATAACATTTTCCAAGCGACGGTAAATATCATGTGGTATCGTATTTCAGTTTGGGTCTGTAGTATGTTGACAGTTTGAATACGTTCTCATGATGAACACTCTTGTCATAATCAGTTTTTTTTTTGCTTTACTGCTGTTGCTATGTTATGCCGTTCTGATCAACATGCTACGTAATATGAAGGTGAATTGGTAAGTATGGCTCGCATGTTTCCAATGTTTTATCTCCTTCCCGATGCCGCGCTATTGCCCTTTTGATCTGTATTGAGGGCTCCATCAACTGAGCGAAATTTGAACGAGTTAGGTTGTGATCTGGGCCTCCCTTAGCTCAGTCGGCTAAAGTGCAGCTACAAAGCAAGACCATGCTGTAGGTAGCTGGGTTCGTTTCCGGGAGTAATTTTTCGGGTTGGCAAATTTCTCGACTTCCCTGGGCATAGAGTATGGTTGTACTTGCCAAACCATTATACTAAATAAAAAATGGCACAGGCATCGAAAGCTTCCAATTAATAACTGTGGAAGTGCATCTAGAACACTGAGTTGAGAGCACGCAATAAGCTAATATACGATAAGTCATAAGCTTGAAATGCGAGGAAGATGAAGTTTATGATCTGAATTTGCGGAAGAACTTTAAAGGATGTATGGGAAACGGATAAAAGATATTAATTTGGTTGCCAAAAATGCACAAAATTTCCCACATGGTGTCTACTACCTAAAAAATCTGGAATCTGCAGGGATGTTTATTTTACCAGGAAACACCTGGAATTTTCAAGGAATTTTTAAATTGCTTTATCATTCAAATAAAAAAAAATATTGAAGTACTCCAGAGAACCTTTGAAGACATTTTATATATTTTGTATTGCAACCAACTTTAACCTTCCTAGTGCATGAGCGTCTTATTTAACTCGTAGTCACTTTAGAAAAGCTGTAGCTTTGTTACGAAATATGATAGAGACCTGAAATTTCCTCACTTTACCTAACTTTCAGAAATGAACATTTTGCTGTCAAAAGAAGCTTTCAGCGACCTTTAGGAGTGGCACTACAAAAAAGTGACACATTGTGCATTAGGGTCAGAATAGATCCAGACTGCATTTTCCAATTTGGCCATTTATGCGGGATCCATCGTTTTTTTGGACCTACGTGAAGAAACTTAGGCGGAATGGCGGTACACCACTCGATGTGTCCTATAAAGAAACTCGTGCTGACTCCGCGGAAGAAGCTTCTGATCTCTTCGCAAAATTCTTCAAGGATGTTTTTTCGACTACCCCTCCCGCTCATTCTCCGGATGATCGTCGTGACTGGATGAGCAGCATAGCTCATTACAACTTGCATTTGCCGCAGTTGGATGTATCTGTTGAAGAGGTGATGAAAGTTCTTTCATCTGTAGATCCTTTTAAAGGCCCTGGTCCAGACTGTTTGCCGCCATCGTTCATTAAGAAATTTTCTGCATCTCTAGCTTCACCTGTGTCGATTATCTTCAATCGTTCGCTAGTTAGTGGTGTTTTCCCCACAATGTGGAAGGTTGCGTCCATCACACCTATTCACAAAGCTGGAAACATCCACAACGTTGAAAATTATCGCGGAATTTCGATTCTAAGCTGCCTCCCAAAAGCTCTGGAGAAGATCGTATATGAGGTCGTATATCAAGCGGTTAGGCCAATAATTACCGAACATCAGCACGGCTTCGTGAGGAAACGCTCTACAACAACCAACTTAATGGTGTTTGTCAACTCGCTGATCAACTCCATTGAAAAACGACGATGCGATCTACTTGGACTTCAGTAAGGCGTTCGATAGGGTTCCACATGTGGTTGCAGTGGACAAAATGAGGTGTATGGGATTACCTAATTGGGCCACGAAGTGGCTACAGTCTTACTTAACTGACCGCTCAGCCTATGTGAGTATTAACGATGTTAATTCACCTAGTTTCGAGATACCCGCTGGTGTTCCCCAAGGTAGCCATTTGGGGCCTTTAATTTTCATCCTGTTCGTGAACGATCTGTGTAGTCGACTGTGTTCTTCGAAACTTATGTTCGCCGATAACTTAAAGATCTTTCGTACAATTAAGTCAAGACTTGACTGTTGCGCACTCTAGAAGGATATTGATTCCCTTTTGCGCTGGTGTACACTGAGCGGTATGCAGGTTAATGTCACAAAATGCTGCGCAATATCTTTCAGCCGTTCACGCGGTGTGTACCCCATTAGGCATAAATACGTTAGGCATACGGACGTTAGGCATACGGACGCTAGGCATAATGGACGTTAGGCATAAAGTCATTAGGCATAATGGACGTTAGGCATAATATACGTTAGGCATAATGGACGTTGGGCATATAATACCTTGCTGCTGTGCAACTCTAGAAACCTGTTTCGAGCATGGTGAACAATGCTTAAATAAGGCTAAGCGTTGAATAACAAATGATACAAGTTAAACAAGCATAGTTTCTTTAATAAGCACAGTATGGAATCCATTATTTATCATATCATAAGTGACGTAGCTACATATTTACTTAGATCCAAGATTAGTAGCGATAGCGGTTAAGTAATCTGGCAATGAAAACTCAACATAGTTTTGAACTATAACTTGAAATCAATCGCATCTAGAAATAAAAAAAAAATCACACATTTGATGTAATATATTCTTACACACATATTACAATTGTCAAAGAAGAAAAGGTTTTCCTCAAAGAACAGCTCATGAAATAAAGTATAGTGAATTCTGTGATTTTTCATTCAATAACAAAAAAACAGTTAAGGTTGAATATAAGATGATGTCAAAGAACAGCTCATGAAATGAAGAATGGTGAATTCTGTGGTTTTTCATTCAATAACAAAAAAACATACCAGCTGCTGCTATACTTTTCGATAAAACGGTTCTGTTTTTGTTGTCATCAGAATGAAAACTAGCGGAACTGTTTGCTGAAGATGTGATGTGAGTGATACTTCCATGAACAATGACGAGTTGCCGAAACAAATAAGGAACTGTGGCAAACGTACCATCTGTAACCCAATATTTTGCCAGCCCAAAACGTCGCAAGTTTTCATGAGTTCCAAAAATTAAGGCTCTTTCATTATTGTCACCGAAGTCAGCAATCAATAGACGGTCCCCATTATCATCCTTCTGGAATTCATCGGGTAGATTATGCCTAACGTCCATTATGCCTAACGTCCTTTATGCCTATCGTACATTATGCCTAACGTCCGTATGCCTAACGACCGTATGCCTAACGTCGTGTACCCTTCACGCGAGCCCTTACGACATGACTATAGGATAGGACTCAGTAGTTTGCTCTTCGTTTCTTCAGTTAAGGATTTGGGTGTTATCATCGACTCTAAAGTCAGAATCAATGAGCACATCTCCATGATAACTGCCAAAGCATTCGCCACATTAGGTTTCTTGAAACGAAACACAAACGCATTCCAGGACATCTACGCGCTGAAATCACTGTACTGTGCTCTCGTCCGCAGTCTTCTAGAGTATGCTGTTGTTGTGTGGGTACCCTTTCACGCTATTCAAGCTAACAGAATCGAAGCCATTCAGCGAAACTTCGTAAGATACGCTTTACGTATTCTGCCCTGGAAAAATTCGGTAAATTTGCCGCCTTACGAAGAACGGTGCAGGCTGATTGACCTGGACACGTTGGCAGCAAGAAGGAAACTACTTCAGCGACTCTTCGTGTTTGGATTGCTTAACGGTGACGTTGATTGCAACTCTCTTGTGAGCCAAATCTACATCAATACTCCTCAAAGAGTTCTACGTAGTTACACGCTTCTGTGGCAACCTACCCATCGGACCAACTATGGATTCAACGAACCGTGGACTTTGTGCTGTCGTTTGTTTAATGAAACGTTTGATGTATATGATTTTAACATTAGTAAGTCTACTTACAGACATAGAATTCGACACCTAGCCTAGAAAATATCTGTACAACATTATTTTGAAGATTTAATTAAATAAATAAAAAAAAAATGATACCTGGCACCGGTTCCGATAGGGCACAAATGGATACTTCCAAAACCTCATGTATTGGTATCGTATCGTTCGATGACTCAAAATTTATTATGTTTCAACCAGAATAAAAACACTTCCACAACCTCATGTACTGGTACCGATTCCGGCAGGGCCCCAAAAAGGACACTTCCAAAACCTCATGTACCGGAACCGACCGACAACTCAAGTTTATGATTTTTCATCCTAATCAGACTTCCCTGGGCATAGAGTACCATTGTGCTTGCCACACAATATACAAATTCATGCAATTGGTATTGGTATCGAAAGCTCTCAATTAATAACTGTGGAAGTGCATTTAGAACACTAAGTTGAGAGCACGCAATAAGCTAATATGCACTAAGCAATAAGCTTGAAATGCGAATAAGAAGAAGAAGACTTTTCATCCAGAAGTAAAAAGACAGGTGGATCTGGCCACATCTGGATACCCGGAATCGGTTCTGGCAGGGCCCCAAAAATGACAAAATCTTTCATCCAGAAGTAAAAAGATATCAAGCCATGGACCGACAGGTGGATCACACCGCATCCCGATACCCAGAACCAGTTTCGAAAAATGATTGCGGCTACTTTTTTTATGGCAACGATTTTCAAAGGCCACGTGTCATTTTGGGCAAATAACTTTAGTATACACACTTAGAAATACATAATCTTATACGTGACGGAATCCATCTTTGACATAAAGGATGAGACGCAAACAAACATGTCATGTAAAGTTAAGTGCACCGAAACAGAAAAGTTCGAAAGTACGTTTGATTGAGCTGACTTTCGCGTCTATTATGTCAAAATTGACGCTCGTATATGTCAGTCTCAGAAGACCTGAATTTACATTAATTTTTCTAAGTGTGCAGGCC